CAAAAAAAAATTCATTGAAGTTAAGGTTACAGGCAACAGATGGTTGGTAAAACCTTTTGTAATATGCAAGAACCCTGCAGAGATTTACACAAGAGAAAATCTCTTTGACCTAGGTCCAATGTTTTTGTGTAATCTAACCATAATATACCTACTTTAAGCTTCGCAAACGCTTCAACACAAATATGTTGCTGTTAAATATGACAGCACATAGAAAACACAAACTATTTAAACTATACGACAAGGAATTTGTTTCATTAAAGTAAAACTTGATGTCCTCTGGTTTATGTGAGCTGCACACTGCTTGCCCTCCAGAACAGAGTCTGTCAGGGCAGGGCTGGACATATGTGTGCTCTGCCTCCTCTCCCATCTTTCTGCTGGCTGCATTGTTTTGGCTCTCCTCTCTCCATGTCAGCTGTGCTGTATGACTGAAAGGCACAGGATTATGTACACTAGGGGCCAAAGGGTCAGTGGATAAGAAGTCTTCTCTGTTACCACAAATCCACAGATTAAACGTAGCGTCGAGAACTAGTGCCGCCCTGGGGGCAAATGGGTCTAAAACGAAACTCTGTGAGAGATTTGGCTTAACATTTCTGTCACTGTGGAGCCTCATGGCAACACATGAGTGGAGTGGCCTCTCTTTAAGTCCTGTTGCATGATGCAGGCTTTTTTTTTTAAATGTGTCCGGGTCATTCAGGGGTTATTGGTACCATTGCTGACTTGATATCTTAATTGGAAAGTTAATCCTGGGCACAGGCAGCTGACACTATGTTTAAAGGGTGCAGAGAGGATTCTACAGAACTGCCTTTGAGCACACAGGAAAATCAGCTTCCTCTGCATGCCTCAGGAAATGTACAGTAAACTGCAAGTTTATCTGTTTTTTTAGACACAGTCTGTTTTTTTTATGCAGAAGGACACAGTGCTCACACTGCACTCGAAATGTGTTAACACATTAGTGTTAAGATGTTTTTTTTTAGATAAACTGCCATTTAGCAGAGCTGTGTGCTGTTTGTGTGTTTATATATATATCTCACAGATACAAAGAGCAAAAGGAATGGCAGCAGATGGAGAAAAGGTGCAGTAGGTCTGTGTGGGATAGTAGCAGGAGGGCCGTTGGTGACAGGCTCTTGTAGTGTCTCGTCTGCTCCAGTGATCCTAGGGAATCTGGGTCATTTCCAGCCTGTTCGTAACTGTTCCTGCTCCTTCCCCTCCCACTCCCACCCCCCAGTGCCCAGGGCGAGCTGCGACCCAGCTACATGCTAATGATGACAGAAAGTAAATCTGCTTTTACTGCAAAATGAAACTTCAGACAACTGCACAACACCTCTGTGCATTGTCCTCCTCTGCTCTGATGTTTGTCTCTAAGCTGCTGCAGGCCTTCAGACAGTCTCACAGTCTGCATGTTGCCATTAGCTGCACAAGCTGAAGTGTTTTCCAAAAGTCATCTCTGAGGTATGATTCATTGCTTAAATTTACAGCGCATCTTTTATTCAAATCAAATGGATGAGAAAACTATGAAATCAAACACCAAAAATGTACAGACAGTTGTTTGTTTTTCTGCTTTTATTTGCTGTTTGTTTTCTTTTTATTGACAGATTCAAATCTTTGAGGACTTCCCTGATGAATGTGATACCTTTCATCCAATTGGCTCCACCTGCCTTATCCAGCAGCTAACCAATCAGCTCTGCAGGATGAGGACTAGTCAGACACCTTCATCCTCACCATTATTCCCAGGTGGATCCAGATTTTGGATTCTTGTCACCAACTGAATCCTCAACAAAACCTAATTTTGCATAAAACTTCCATGTAGAGGTCATATCTGCTCACACAGGTTCATGTATTTGATCTGCAATCCCAGATAATGTCAGGAAATGTGCTGCTGTTCTTTACGCTTATTTTAAAGGTTTTACAGGTTCCAGCATCGTCTCCAGAATTTATCTTTGAATCCCATTCCATCTGATCATCCACAATCTATCACTGCTTCTCTCTATCCCTCCACAACCAGTTTTCTTTACTTTTTTTCTGTGAATGATGTTTTTACTCCCATCTCTTTCAGATGATTAATTCCCAGGCATCTTATCTCTGCCCATTTGTTATTCATTTCTTATATTTTTTCTAAAGGATATCACTTTAAGCTGTCTGCAGATGCTTTGATGACTTACAACCATTTGGATATATTGTCTGGGCCCATTCGACTGAGATCAACCTACAACTTTCTCCATACGTTAATTAGATATGTTTTGACTGTATTCTGATCATGTTCCCTGCCAATCAGCTGATTCCTGTCTAACAACAGACTTGTTTGCAGAATTAGACTTTTATGTATTTGTTTTTAGAACTGCAAACTAAAAGCTAAATTTACATTTTTGCTCCACTTTCTTTAATAAATTCAGTTGGGGTTTTGTTGTTGGTAAAATACCTGCAGGATGTTCGGGGCCCCATTTTCTCCAAGTTTTGTTTGGAAATGTATGTTTTTTTTTTGTTAATGTGACATTAATTCCTAAATCAAGGTTTTCTTGTCTTCTTAAACTTTGGAAAAACGTTCTACCAAATGTTCTTTGAAATAAAAATGAAAAATGTAAGCATTAAGAATAGTTCTTATTTCTGCATTTGATTCTTCTTTTAACAAAAGGTATTAGTCTCCCCTAAACAGCTTGATTTCTCAGAATGTCAGTCAGGTTTTATATTTTCTCTTTCTACCAATCACGAAAATTGTTTTGGAGGCTCATGTATAAAAACAGCTTCTGTTTCACTATTCTATTACTTTGGTATGATCAATTCATCTTGTATTCGTTATATATATCAACATGAAACCAGTGTATTGCACAAACATAATTTTAAAACCAATGCAGAAAGCAGGTCATGGTTTTGTCTGAAGCATGCATCACCGTCTCTATGATTCATAGAGTAAACGGCCAAGAAAAGAAAAAAAAAATTGGCGTCTTTGAATGACATCCAGTGTTGCTGCACTGAATGTGCGGAGATATTGGTGTCAGGAGGCCTATCCCTTGCTGACACAATGACACAGGCCTGGACACACAAAGCAAGCCTCGCATCACTTCAATCGCAAATTAATCTTTGCAGAATTTGAAGGTTGTATGAAACATATATGCAAACGAAAGGCTGAAACGAATTGCTGATTAAAATTGTTATTTAAAAGACTTTCTTTGAATAAAGTTTATGTGTGTTATTTATTATAAGCACAAGTTTCCATTGAGAGGGCAGAACCTATAAGCAGAGCATTTTTTGCTATTTTATAAATGTTTAAATCCGCCCCAACATGGTTGTTTTACTTAAAAAAAAACATGGTATATGGTGGTTATTTGCAACATTGCGTTTAAGATATTCAAAACATTTTCATATTTAATTGATAATTCTTCTATAAGCATCGCAGTAAATTTAGTTTGGGACTGGATGCTTGCAGACATTAAAGATTTACAGACAGCTAAATATTTCAAGACGGTACCTTGTCACTTGCCCTCAAAATGTATTTCCCGCATGGCTCGTCTGAAAAGGGGTGCAAACCTTTATTTATATATATTAAAAAAACAAGCAATTATTAAAGTAAGTAAATTATCCTAATGTAAGAAATGTAGGCCTATTAACCGTGTTTTTTTTATTATTCTTTTTATTTTATTTTCGATGAAGATGTGATCTTTGGAATGCAAGTATGAACAGCTTTTGTTGGAAAAAAAAACATTTCATAACCTCGCATCCAATATGCGTTCATGAAAAAAAAAAAATCCCGTAGGGGTGAAATCAGAGTGAGTATGGCGCGTGCGCGTGCACGAAAGATGGATATAGAGGGAGTGAAAGAGAGCGCGCGTGAGAGAGGATGTGCGTGGGAGTGGAGGGGGCAGAAGGGGAGGGGGGGGATCTGTGAAAATAATATCAGGCCTTTCCGTCAGAATGAACTTTACTACTGTATCCAGCCATGAAATAATCTGACCCGACACTTCAAACCATCTGCGCTATCTATCCGCCCTCTTATTTACTAAATCAGCCTGCGCACAAAACGGAGTGAGCCTGATAGCCCACTAAAAAACCCGAGGAGCCTGCCGGGCCGTCATAATCCTATACACACACACGCGCGCACACATTTTTCTCCTCTGTTGTGTTTTATAAGCATCATAAACTGTACGCTGCATGCGCGCTGATGTGCTGTCTACACTGATGGAGGATTGCTGGAAAAGAAAAAAAGGCGCCTTTCAGGACTCCCAGAAAAGACTAATTGTATCCATAAAGTCTGTTTTCTTCTAATGAAATTGCGTTTATTTATTTGCAAATCGTAAAACATAAATGTAGGTATTGAGAAGATAAAAATATTTTTTGGTGGTGAAAAGTAAAAAGCAGGCTAAGTAAAACCTTCTTTGCATCTGGATTAATTTGATTATTTTGAATATGCATTAAAGTATTTTACAACATATTATTGCATTAGCAACAGATTTTATTTTTTATTTTTTTAAGAATGGAAAGCTTAATGACCTGTAGGTCTATATATTATAAATCCCAGAAAGGCGCACTGATCACCTTCAGCCAGGGGCTCTGGCTAAACATGATATTGTCTGATTCTAAAGTCTGACATTATCTGCTGAATTTAGCCTTTGGGGGCAGCATGGCCGTTTGTATGCAGCGCGGTTTTGTCGTTTTGCTGCGTAAAGCCGCTTTAACTGTGCGTCTATTTTGGCACTACGGCACACATCCGCTGCGCACACTTTCTGCGACACAAAGGCGCAGGGAGAGAAGCGCGGCGGGGGCATCGAAACGTTTCAGGACGCGCAGCAAAAAAAAAAAAAAAAAAGGTCAAAATGTTGATATTGTATTTGCAAAGGGAGGCGCTGAGCTCTTCTTTCCGCCCGATTGGCCGAAGTTGACAGTGATTGACGTGTATCCATGGCAACCGTGCAGCCAATCTGCCAAGTCCAATAGGAGATCATAGGAGGGGGTTTGACTAGCTTTTTCTCCCCCCTCCCTTAAAAATACATCTCGGCTCCGGCTTTAATTCTTCTCTGCATTCAGTCCCAGGCTACCTTGAAAAATACACCACCGATCGGGCTTTAAAGGTTCCTGCTTCCTCGGCCAGTTGCTGCCCGCCAAGTTCGCCGAGGCTGAAGATGCGGTAGCCGAGGCCCCGCACAGCATCTTCCCATCTCAGCGGCATTCCCCTCGGCTGCTCAGAAGGTTGATCTGCTAACTTTGGGATTTGGCTTCTTTTTTTGTTTTTTGTTTTTCTTCTTTTTTTTTTTCTTTTTTTTTTTCTGGTGCCTTGGATTGCCTTGGCGCACGGAGAGAAGGCGCAGAGGAGATAGAGAGAGAGAGAGGAACGGAGAAAGGAGGGGGAGAGTGGAAACCCAGGAGAAGCCTCCATGTTTCAGCTGCCCATCCTGAATTTCAGCCCCCAGCAGGTCGCCGGGGTCTGCGAGACTCTGGAGGAAAGCGGGGACGTCGAGCGCCTCGGCCGCTTCCTCTGGTCTCTCCCTGTGGCACCGGCGGCCTGCGAGGTCCTCAACAAGAACGAGTCAGTGCTGAGGGCCCGGGCAGTGGTCGCCTTCCACACCGGCAATTTCCGTGAACTCTACCACATCCTGGAAAACCACAAGTTCACCAAAGAGTCGCACACGAAGCTGCAGGCGCTGTGGCTCGAAGCGCACTATCAGGAGGCTGAAAAACTGCGGGGCCGCCCGTTGGGGCCCGTGGACAAATACCGGGTGCGGAAGAAGTTCCCCCTGCCCAGAACCATTTGGGATGGAGAGCAGAAGACCCACTGCTTCAAGGAGAGAACCCGGCACTTGTTAAGAGAGTGGTATTTGCAAGATCCTTACCCGAATCCCAGTAAAAAGAGGGAGCTTGCACAAGCTACTGGACTCACACCCACACAAGTGGGAAACTGGTTTAAAAACCGGAGACAAAGAGACAGAGCGGCGGCTGCAAAGAACAGGTGAGCTGGAGCATCCTGCACATGTTTCTCTATGTAAAAATTAGACAACAATGGATAGAAAAAATCTACATGGAGCATAAACTGGTTAACGATAAGGGGCAAACTAGATCCATACAGCTTTTCCATAGATTGACTTATTAGATCCTGAATTTTACTACTAATCTTGTTTTGTATTTAGTCGCTTATAAAATGCTTTATAATGTAAGAAGAGTCTTACTTATCTGAGATGCTGAATATTCTAGATATATTGTGGGTTACTTCGTCTATCAAGAATGCAAAAATAGCATCACTGACTGTTTCTGTGTAAATATTTTGATGGATAAGTCAGCGTCCGAAAGAGCAACAGCAAAACATTTTATACTATATATATTTTTTGGGTTGTCATGATTTCTCTTTTAAAGTTTTGTCAAAAAGAAACATAACATTTGATTATTAAAAATCAAACATCTAATCACAATAATTGATTTTGAAATCCTGATACACAATATCAGAATATATAAATATATTTAAATTGTGCAAATAGTTATATTAAATCTGATGGTTGCTCTTATGTTTGTGTGTTTTCATCAAATTAGCTTTTTTTTTAACTGTGCACATCTGAAATTATGGGTAGTTAATTTAGTTGTTCAATTAACTAAAACAACAAAAGAAGAAAAAAAAAGAATTATTTATGTTTTATTTTGGAAAATATCCTTGAAAAAATGATATTATATTAAATGGATATGCTAAAAATGATGGCAGCCTTTTGAAGCCTTCCTGACCGCCTTTCTCTGTCTCCTTCCTCACCAGGCTACAGCAGCAGGTTCTATCCGGCGGCTCGGTTCGCTCCTTGGCGGACGAGGACGGCACTGTGGACCGCCTGGGGAACTCCTCCAGTCCGGAGGCCAGCCTGTCCAGCAAAGCGGCCGCCTCGGCCATCTCCATCACCTCCAGCGACAGTGAATGTGACATCTGACGGACGCACCAGAGCGAACTGACCAATAAAAGGGGAAAAAGACAATCTAATAAAACAAGTAACAGTGCCTGCGTCGAGTTAAAAACACACACACATAAATACACACACTGATTTCTGACGGCTGCCAAAAGTTGATGCAACCCGCGATCAGTGGGTGCCCTTTCAGACCCATAGCCTACTTTTATTTGCGTTTGATCCATGCGTGGAAAACTGACAACGGACATTTTATGGACTAGTAACGCTTGAAGACGAAACCTTAAAAAAAAAAAGTGCAGACGTATATACAAAAAGAAAGGGAAGAAAAAAAGGATGAGGTGTCCAAACTGGTCTGACCTGCTGTTCTCTGTGGGTATTTCATGTTGAAAAGAAGAACTGTGATATTTTTACTTTAAAGTTTTATAAATAATGTTTATTTGCTTATTTAAAATGATCTGCTCTATTGTCTCTTGGAATTTCATATTCATTTGCTTGGTGTTTTTAATACATACCTTGTACACAGGTGAACCTGTTGAGCATGCGCGCTTTAGTGACTTTGTGTTTCAGTAAAAAAAAGAAAAAAAAGGAAAAGATAACTTAATAAAACAACTGTTGACCAAGAAAGATTTAAATTTAGACTCTTCTTTGAGTAGGTTTCTTATAAATAAGTAGCTTATTTCTAATATTGAAATGTTAGTGAAGGATCCTCTGGGCTGTTGTGGTTTGGAGAAGCATTTTGGATGGGTTCTAACGCCACGGTGCTGCGTTCATTGACACGTTTCAGAGCTTGGTCTAATTGGCCAACATGCTCTGAGTCCCGTAATGCAGGGTGACAGGGAGAGGTCACCGAGAGGCCGGCTCACTAACCCGGATGATCCGCGGGAGAGATCACAGAGATCAAAAATGCAGCAGATTGCAAACCTGGGTTGATGCTCTGCACATGCACATAAACAACTAGATTCTGCCTCCTTAAAACATGCAAGTGTCTATTTTCCCAAGACACAGCAATCAGACCGCAACCAATCTTTTAATTAACGCGAACAAGGCTGCAGCAGCTCTAATGATCATTTCGGTAACACTTCACTTAAGTATTGCTGATGCGCACATATTTGCAGTTTTTATTTGGTTTTGTCCAGGTTTTAAGGTAATGTTTTTTTTAAAAGCATTTTGGTATTTTAACGTGAAAGCTGACAAAGATGTATAAATTGGAAGAAATGTAAACGTTTATTGTTTGTTTTGCTCCTAGTCTGCTTCTTTCAATAAAAAAGAAGCACATATCTGTAGAGGAACTAAGCTGAGGAAAATAAAAGGTTTTTTATCTGCTTTTCTTTCAAACTCTGGGACAAAACTGCTAAATATTTCCGTTTCTATTGAGGGAAAGAGGGACAGGGAGAGTTGATGAAAAAGTCTTTCTAGCAGTCAATAAGGTTGTCAAACTGGTCAGCGGTAATCAGTGCTAATGATGGGGTCTGGGGTCCCAGCCGGGACAAAAGGGGCCCCCCGACGCTGTTGCAGGGAAGCGTCCGCGGGTTCCTCTCCAAAGAAAAGACTGCAGAGAGGACAGTCTGGAACATGGAAAACACAACTTCTCCGGTTTGTATGTGTGCGTGGCTGCCTCACTGTGAACTCATTTGTCACATTGAAGGGTTTCATTATTGTCTTCTTATAACAGACTGTTTACTGTACGCAGCTAACTTTCTTTAAAATGAAATCAAAAACTTTTACTAACATTTTAGCAAGTAAAAAAACAAAACAAAATAAAACAAACATTTAAGCCACATTATTTGTATGTGACTATATAATCAGTACTGTATTTTTTGTGCCTGTTGTGATGTTATTATCAACAGCAGATTGAAATCTTCTATTTTCTGTGTTTCTGTGAATATTTTGATTTACAAAAATTCAGAAGCGCAGCTGTTTCTTTGCGCAGACTACAGGTTGTGTCTGTTAGGCTACTGATTTTAACGCGTGTTTGACTGAAACTGAAACCTTGTTGCATAAAGAGATTCTTTCTCAGTATTTTATAAAAACTGTAATAATACTATTTGTTGATGCAGCTCTGAGCTTTTAGTCTCTTAGACCATTAACGACTTCCTTTGCGCCTTACTCCTATAGATTCACCAATCAGCCTAAGACCTGCATTTTCCTCCATGCAAGGGGAATAAAACAAAATAATTATTTTTGCAAAAATGTATTAAAAAGAGCAAAAAAGTATGAAGCTAACGGACCTGATCTATCTGACTGCATGAAAGGGAATATATGCAGTTATAACTTTAACACAGCGCGAGCCATTTTCACACCCTTTTTTCCGATAGGGTCAGACAATTATAGCTTTAAAATAGGATTATTTTTTTTCTTGTTTCTCTTCTTCTTTTTTTACTTATTATTTATTTGTTTTCTTACTACCCAGTCTTGTACCAACAGCAAACGTGTTTGTATTTACATTTCGTTCTTCTTTTAAAATCCACCCTCACACTTAGACAGTTATAACCTCTGCAACACCCTGAGGGCTTTTATCTCCTGGTTTATTTTACCAATAGAAATATTTTATCTTTAGGACTAATTTATTTAAAATCCCCGGTGAAAGAAAACGTCAGGCCTATTTCAGAAAATGGGTGCTTTAGTCTGCATCTAAATATTCGATGGTTCTAAGTCTTGAAAGTTTCAGTTTTGTAGTTTGAACTGTTTAAATTAATTAACACGCGTTATATTGCCGATATTCATTGTGTATTTGCTCTAATAAACGAAGCACCCGGTTTACCACAATGCAGATTCATCCACAACTGGAGCACATGTCTTATTGCATCAAGTGTTGTTTCTTTGAGAGCCACCGAGGAACCAAACAGCCAGAAATCAGTGATCACACTGTAAAATAAAATAAATCTACAGGCTTAACTCTCACAGCAGCGCGGTTCACTGCTTATAAATCTGCGCTGTGTAAAAAATATCATAGCCTATAGAGTTACTGGAATATTTCTTGTATTATATCAATGCATAAAAGTTTAAAATAAGAGAAAATGTGCAGTTAATAGATTTCTGCCTTAATATGGATATATTTATCTCTTATCAGCTCGAATGATGTCACTGAAAAGGAAAACCGTGAACATTGAAGGGGACGGTTGTCCTCAACTTTTTCAGCTGCATTCCCCTTCATGTCATATCCTTACTACAGCTACTGTCTCTGCAGTCTACAATGTCGGTGGTTTGCATTGCTGGACCACAGTGTGATGGTCTAATAAAATGTAAAAGGCTAATCCAATCAAAATATTTCAGTCGAATAACAGAGGTGGGCGTTATTACTTGTCTCTTATAGCATGGGTGATGAATTCATAACAAAACTGACTCCTTTAAACCTCCGCTTCTCCATCCAACCTTCAGAAGGGTGTTAGGATGCGTCTCTCTGACGTTTCTCCTTCCATCGGCGTTATTCTCAGGCAATGGCAAACAATAGCATACTGGGAGGATGTTCAGGTCCTGCAGGCTTTGCAGAACAATGCTGTGTATCTAAATGTGAACAGGGAAATGTCAGTGACGCCCCCTGGTGGTCATAGGGTCCTCCCACAAACCGAGGAGTGAAGGTTTTATTGAGCATAGTTGATGTTATTTGTTCATCGTAATGAAAACTATATATATATATATATATATATATATATATATATATATATATATATATATAGTTTTGTTTGCTACTTTTTGAATGAAACCAATTGACAGATTTTGAATACAAGAAGTGCAGTTTAAATAATTTCTGATGCGCTCTGTGTATTTATGTTTAACTGTTTTATATATTTTTTAAAATAAGCTAGATTCAAATAGGAATGGAATGTGGTTTACCTTTATTAAATGTTTTGTCAAAGCAAGCTCATGACACCACAATCGTTTGTTCAATGAGTTTACCTAACTTAAGAAATTGAGAAACTGTGCCTTGACACCAATATATTAAGGCAGATTTCACCACGTTAAATTGTAGCTATATTGTGGTGAAAGATGGGGAGAAATTATACAAATGCAAAATGCGACCATGCATTATGCAAAAAAAAAAAAAAAGCAATAAGGTTCTTTTTCATAAGGCTGAGCAAACAGATTCGTTATATAGTCAAGCCTGCTGATCGATCTAGTCCGAATCATAAGTAAAAAAAAAAACAAACAAAAAAAAAAAACATAGAATCTGGGAGAAATTGTTTGATTCCATAACGTATTGAGAAACAGTCTTCTAAGAGAAAGATAGGTGGTAAAATGTATTTATGGAGGGGGCATATTCTGCTGATATTTGAGCGAAAAACCTGGAAAACATGAAGTTGCAACATTTCAGCACCATGGACAGAGTTCCTGTTGCTTAATTCTCCAGCAAAGCCCATAACTCATCTTTTGCTGTTAACACTCATAGTGACGTTTTTTGTTTGATACATTGTTTTATGCTTTTTTTCCAACGAAGGTAAAATCAATTGAAATATTAGAACAAAAAGAGAAAATTGTAGCACAAACTATACTCCCATAATGAGCTCCAGTTGTTAAGCATAGCTGCGTTTCCTTTCAATCCAAATCAAGTTAGCAACTCAGAAAAGTCTAAAAAAAAAACAAAAAACTATGACAAAAGGTTCATAAAATAACTATTACTCTTATTAGACATTATTGTGTTTTTCCCGAGGTTCCAACTTCAGGAGTTTATTCTAGCATCGATTGGTTCCTTTTAGCGGCTGTTTAGATGAATCTGTTCCGTGACTTGTCTGGAGCAATATCGATCACTGATTGAGCGCATATCGCTGCAGCAAACTGCGACAGACCGTTATTATCTGTGCTTTTGTTTTGAAAGACGCTGCCAGAAGCCTCGGATTAAAAAAGACAGTCGTGGTGCATTGTGGGACTACTAGTATCGACACAATAGAGCAGGATGAAGAAGGTCATGTGGGGATACCAAATGTGTTTTTGTTGTCGCTTTAAACTTATATACATTTTTTTATTTTTTTACTTTTCTTTCTTATTTTTTCTATATAACTTCCTACTTACTGTGGTTGACGCAGTGTTTTTCATTCAATAGAGTTAAAGAAAGAGTTAAAGATAAAAGAAGCAGACCATAATGTCTGATTTTTTTATAGCGATAATTTAACTTGCATGTGATTTATCTATACAGTTTTATTTAATTTACAGGAAGGCAGTTGGCATTTTTAATCATTGTAATGTCCCACTGTTATTTTGTAATATAAACCTGATTGAAACAGATTTTTGTACTTATGCTTACACTGTTTAAATGTATTGTGTTATAAGTGAAAAATTGTTGACCGATTTCTTAGAATTTCATATATAATCAGCGTTTTTGATTCATTGTTTTAAACAATCAAAAAAATTTAATATTAGGCAAAAAAGGATGATGGCCTGTCAACTGACAGAGCTAAACGACCATTAAGTACCTGTGATAACTGGTGGTGAGTCTGTTTCTTCACAGTGGACTACTTTTTGGACTTCTCAACCTTTAAAAATTGTTTTAATTCAGCTGAGTGTTTTGTAAATATAAAACTTAAGGTCCTGTCAAAGCATTTCAATCTGCATCAGGACCCGATCTACTCCACACTAAAAACTCTTCCTTCAGCCATCTGAAACACAGGCCAGTGTGCTTTGGATTATTACCCTGCTTCCCGAATATTGGGCATAACGTACCTATATCATGCAGATCATCTTTTTTTAACTTTTAACATTGTTATAAAGTTATTCCCTCAATAAAACCATGCACAAAGTAGTATTCCCCTTAAATCATGCTCTCTGAGTAGCAGCCCCTTCTTGTCCTTGAAAAATAAATGTCTACTGTCCTACATAGGACCATGTTTAGCTCCCCTATCCAGAAACCACATACCTGTCCAGTAAGTAACACGTCCATTTTCTCTGATCAGTAAGCAATGATTTGAGACAGAGCACCAAAGTTAAAGTTTAGCACCTATTCTGCACACTGACAGCAACTATTCATTCTTTAAAAAAATGTTTGCTGCAGAAATGTGCTTTTCTACAGAAAGATGTCTTGGACTTTGTTTATTTTTCCTAACAAACGGAGTACGCTGCAGAGGTTCTCATGAAGGCTGAAGGCATCCACATGGATGAGGACGGAGTCACAGCAAAGGCAGGTGTGCTTCTTCTTACCTGAAATAAAACTACTAATATTTCATAACAAATTAATACTTATTAACGCCCAAGACAATATTTCATCATATATATGCCTATAGTTCAATTTTAAGGGCTTAATGAACATGAAATAAAAATATGATCTATGAAATCACAATATACGACCTTTAAGGTCACAAACTAATGACTGGATGATCTTGTTAAGGATGTTTTGCCAGGAAACAGAATTCATGGTCTAACAATTGCAGCAAGTCATTCAGGTCCTGAAGTAGCGGTGCATCATGAGATCATCAAATTACCACATCATTTCTGCTAAAGACTCTCCTTATTGCTTCCTCCTCCCTGGATCCACTGCCTGGAACACTTAACTTACCCAAACTACTGCTCACCTACCTGTGCACCACCACTGTCTCCATCTCCCTTTTGAACAGGAAACATTGCAATGCACCAAGGATCCATCCCACTCATCACAAGCTTCCGGCCTAATCTTTTGTCAGTATAATCACCAGCCTCCCAGAATATTTCACAACTCCAACCACAGTAAAAGTATGGCTTCTTCTTCAGTTAAAACTAGTGATGAGGAGCAATGAGAATAATATACTGTTGGTGCAATAAAGAATTAGGGGGAACAAAATGTGGCCCCTTCAAGTCTTTGACCTACACTATATGACTCTCACTGCTCCCCACCACTAGTTAGAACTGAAGAAGTCTCTTGGATGAGAGATGAAACGTCTTGAAGAAAACTTTACATCCAGTTGCCTAAACGGAACTTTTTCAAGCTTGACCTGGATGACTGAGAATCGTCACAGATATGGCTTCTTCTCAAATGTTAATAAACAATAAGATATAATAAGATAAGAGATATCTTTATAGTCCCACAGTAGGGATATTCAGATGTGAAAGTTGCTGCATTAAAAAAAATAAAATAAAAAATGACACTAAAAATAATCACCTAAGTCTCTCTGGTGTCATCCTGTAACCTTCTCCCAAACCAAAAGGAAGCAGTCCTCTTTTTGCAGTGACAATAAACCATATAAGCTTTCCCTAGTTGTCTGTTGTTGCTGTCTGCCCAAGGTCTCACTGATATCCATTATGACAAAGTCAATATTGCTCAAACAAATCCGAACTCATCTAAAGACAACACAGCTATGTCAATCATTGTAAAGGT